CCTCTGATCCCCCCTGCTCTCTCCCCCCCCCCCACCTGACAGCCTTTGATGTGGACTTGATTCACAACAGCTAAAAGTGAGGTTTGCGGTGGCGGTGCCTGTTCTGTAAGTTGAGGGTTGGCAAGGGAAGATGAATAGGTAGGTGTGTACGGAGAGTAGCTCTGGTTGAGTATCGCCAGTATATTGTTCTAGTAGTCCACAGATCAAGCTAAAGGTTGGACATGGAATTTCCAGAGTTGCTTATTTATCAATTGTTTATCCAAGTGTCACCCTCATTGCATCATGCATCAATACACTATAGCAAGAATAAACTAATTCCATGGAAAGTAAGGGGCTTCTGTATATGTTGTATGTGTTTTTATCGCAGTAGATGTTTGCCTAGAGCTATCGCATCCATTCTTCTATAAAGTTGTGAAAGTGCTTTTCCATTTTGAGCTTCCTATCCGTATCCGGGTGATCTTGGAGATCTTAGGTGTGTGGGTCTGCTAAATCTAGGAATGGTTTCTAAGCAATCCCTTAAGTGTTTTTGGTAAATAATGACTCCAGGTTTTCGGTGACTGTTGACTGAAACATTGAGCCAGCACTGGGACTGATGACAATGGGCAGTGTCCGCCAAAGCTCTGCTTAATGTTGTTGCTATACAAATTAATAAAATAAAGCACAGTCATCCTTCCTGCCTAATTCCCGTAACAAAGGTAAACCAGCCTTACCTGCTCCAAAGCTGGCCAGACATTAATAGATTTATTTTGTTTCAGCCTATGGGAATGGAAGAACCATCTGGGTTGGGAAAGGGTAACTTGTTTGTTAAAAGGAGTCCAGGGAAAAGTGATAACTATACATTTTATTTCTTAAATAATAGTTCTCTTTATAAAGGAGTTCCTCCATTTTTGGTTCAATTTTTTTTTTTTTTTCTTAATGTATACCTTTTTTAACTCGTGTGATTTCTACATTTGTAAACCTATGAGGGTTATTCACTAAAGAGCTGAAGGATTAAGCCAAAGCTTGGGTCAATCCTTGAGCTCACTTCGGCTGCCGGAGCATTTCAGTTCAGCCAAACCGAAGGGCTTGATGTACGGGCTATTCTCAATAGCCCGCACAGCAGCCGAACAGCTCAGCCGAGCCAAACGCATTTGCTTCTGCTTGGCTGAGCTGAACACACAGCCAAAGCTGGGAGAACAGTCTGCCAAAGCAGCATTCGGCTATATGCTTACTGCCGTTTGGCCCCTATGAGAACGGCAGCGAGTGAATTGTCGGATATTTTGCTCAACCGATCCACATCTGAGCATGTTCGGCTGAACCGAAGGAAGCGGAAGCCAGCCGATGCAGGGCTGAAATCAGCCGTACAGCGCTGAGGTGAAGTGCCAAACAACGTTTGGTTGGGTTATTGACTCTGCTGCCTTCGGCAGTTTAGTGAATAACACCCTATATAATCTTGGATTTATACATTAACTACATGGGAAACAGTTTTTGGGTCAATATGGATCATCTTAAGACCGCACAGCAGAGCAACTTGCTTTGCAGCTCCCTTTTTTATGTGATAGAAATCTCAGACTCCGTTATTTAATAAGGGATACGTCACTACTCTAATACTTTTTCCAGCTCTGTATACATGGATGAAAGATTACATAGTAAAAATATGTAATGGTTAAAATATATACATATATAGAGATTAGAATTTATAAACAAAGGAAATATGTGCAAAACCAGTATAAACTCCGCTTTAGTTTGTCATATTACACAGTTAAAAGGCTGTCCTATGTTTTCTGAAAGTGACTCTCGTATAGCATTACCATTCTCCTTTTATTTTCTCCAGGTACAATGGCTCTCTACCAAATGGGGACAGAGGAAGAAGGAAAAGCAGGTTTGCTTTATTGAAAAGACTAAAAGCCAATGGGGTGAAGCCGAGTACTGTTCACATTGCCTGTACTCCACAGGCAGCAAAGGTAAGTCTGCGTTTTTGGTACACACCTAAAGGACAGATTAGGTCTTAATATCTAGCATTTGTAATAGCAGAACTACTAAGGTTTCTAAATACAAACTATTAACAGTGTTGTCTGTTTCTGGTGATGGGAGGGAATTCCAAACCACAGACCTGGACTAATTTGTTGCCCTGCTTTAAGGATATTTGGGTTTTGAATAATTTAGATTAACACATCATTACAATGCCACTGCAGTGATTATTGATTGTTATGTCAGACTTTACTAATGGTTCTATTTTCTAGTGTATAAGTGTCACTATGAAGATCCAATTTACTGGTACAGAGACTGCTTACCATGCTTCTAAGAGACTTTCTGGTACCAAAGAAATTCTAAAGGAGCACTTTTCTGGGAAATTCCCACTAAATTTACTTTTTGGTAGGTCCTTTTTTTGAATCGCTTCTTCTCCATTTAAGGGTAAATGCAGAAACAGCGAGATCATTGATATCTGTGGAGAGCTGCCATTATCTGCATATGCATGCACTGAGCAACAAAATTGAAAAAGAGCCCTATATATATGCCAGATAATGTGTTATGCGTTTTTTTGCAATCTGGTCAGTCCCTTTTGTATAGATTTGCAGAAAAGAAGCATGTTTTCTTAGCCTATGGTATGTTCTCTGGGGTTCTGAGTACATTATGGTAGTGTACTTAATGAGAGGCTGTTTATGTGCGTAGTCTAGGATTTAGCGAACTTCACTAACAAGCCAGTTCTTTGCTACAGAATAATGTACTATTGTGGTCTGCTTTGTCAGCTTGCCATGTGCTCGCCTTTTGTGGCTGCATGTCAAACATGTCTTTGTTTTATATTATATGTAATGTTTTGTTTCAGGCAATAAGTAATAAGGACCAGCACAGTATATCGTACACTTTGTCAAGGGCGCAGACTGTGGTAGTGGAATACACCCATGACAGTAACACGGATATGTTTCAGGTAAGAATCTTCCACACAGCTTTTCTGCCTTATTACAATGGACGTTGTAGCAATACATTTTATGTATTAACTTAATTTGATAAACTCAAAGTCCTTATTATTGTTAGACATATAGTGATCCAATCAAAAGACCTTATCCCTAATTTTGAGTAGTAGAGCAGTGAACTGCCTGCCCATTTTGGCATCGTATGTCTTTATGTGAAGATAGTGCCACTTCCTGCTACAACTGGAGGCTTCTGACAATGATATGATGGCACTTGATAGATTATATCAGTGGACCCCAAACTGCAGCCCTTTACGTTCAATTAACTGACACCATGGATGAGGGCGCAGATCCTCCCACTGAGGCCATGGGTGGGGCACAGATCCTCCCACTGAGGCCATGGGTGGGGCACAGATCCTCCCACTGAGGCCATGGGTGGGGCACAGATCCTCCCACTGAGGCCATGGGTGGGGCACAGATCCTCCCACTGAGGCCATGGGTGGGGCACAGATCCTCCCACTGAGGCCATGGGTGGATTTGTACTCTCACCAATGACCAAATCTGGGGAATTTTGTACTCTCACCAATGACCAAATCTGGGGAATTTTGTACTCTACAAAATTCCCCAGATTTGGTCATTGGTGAGAGTACAAAATTCCCCAGATTTGGTCATTGGTGAGAGTACAAAATTCCCCAGATTTGGTCATTGGTGACTCTGGCTGGACCAAAGTGTGATCCCCCCTGAAGTCTTAATGACAGTAAATTGGCCCTTTTGTTTTTAGAAAGACTCCTGGACTTTATCTTTTTATGGCTTGAGATAACTTTTTTTTTTGCTATCAACTGACGTAACAATGTCATAAGCTGAACTCTGATACCATGTTGTATTACATACAAATTACAAGAAACCATAAAACTGTTCCACCCTTTTCTTTGTGTGCGTGTGCATACAGTTTGAAAACAGACTCTGACATTCTGTATTGTGTGTTCAGCCCAACACAAACTTTTTTTTTTCTAATTTTTTTGAGCAGAAGCAACAATTTACCCATTTTGCCACGGGGTTCTAGGTTACTGTTGTGCACTAGGGTTTAAATATCCTTATTCCTGAAATGTTGTTAAATATATATGTAGTACTTGGCCATTCTGCAGCAGATCCAGCTGCTTCAATTGAATATAGGTCAGATTGATCATGTAAGCCTTTGTCTAGAGCTGAAAAATGCCGTCATTTTGAACCAGATCTTAATTTGCAAAATGAGAGGCAATGGACACAATCTGACAATGGCTGCATGCACTGACAGATGCAGCCAATGGGTAAACTAGCTTTTTTTTTTATTATCATTCTAACCATTTGATATTAAATGGTTGCCAGTCAACTATAGACTGGCTGTAGGAAAAGACAGTTTATTATCAACAGTTTAGGATGCAATTGCCGAATTTGTTGCCCTGTGTATGAACACCTTTTCGGCAATCCCTTAATGATTTTGAGGCACAGTTCCTTGCGATTACGTTGCAGCTTTTAATTAAATGGTAAGAAATTGTCATAATGCATGGTCAGCATAATAATCCGGGGTCAGGGAAAATCATTTTTAGCTATGGTTTATTCCACAGCTTGAGTAAATGAATGAAACATTATGGCAAGTTACAATAGACTCCCTTTTAATCGTCTGGAGAGATTTCATCTTCTCAATACTTGGCTATAACAATGTTCTTGTTGTCTTGACAAGTCTTTCTTTGTATGTTGCTGTGTCTTTCTGTACAATGATTCCTATCTCTCTTCTAATGCATTTCTAGATTGGAAGGTCAACAGAAAGCCCTATTGATTTTGTGGTAACTGACACAGTTCCAGGAAGCCAGAGCAACTCCGATACACAGTCCGTGCAAAGCACCATCTCGAGATTCGCATGCAGAATTATTTGTGAACGAAATCCTCCATTTACTGCCAGAATATACGCTGCAGGCTTCGACTCTTCCAAGAATATCTTTCTTGGGGTAAACGATATTTTAATTATTTTAAAGGTTTGATATACCATTCCCAGTGCAGTTGAGAATACCCTTTCAAATTTTGGAGTCCCTAGTTCTCTGTCAGGCTCATGCGACAAATATTAAAGTCAGCATGTTTAAACAATGGTGTAAAAATGCAGACAGGGGATATAGATGCATTATAATGCTTAATTTATGAGTGTGTCTTGAAGGGTCAGGTAAATCTAGATTTTATCCCATATGTCTCCCATACTGTTTTACTTCTACAGTGGCATTGGTAGTAGGGTATTGTATGAGTCAATTCAGAACATCAACTTAACTGGCCCTACATTCATAAGTGGGTGAAGCTTGTCAGTAAGTTCATAGCTCAACTGGCAAGGGAAGAGTGCTTCATTTTTGTATTTGTAGACACTCCTGGCCAACTGTTTTGAGGGGGACATTGTTGATCAAAGAGGTGAATATGCCTTGTTTACTGTTGTCCTCCTGCAGGTAAGCAGTCACCATTGCAGTCATCCTGCAGCTTGCTGTTCTTCCCCTCTCTCCATAGACTTAATGGAATCATGTAATGAGATGGACATGGAGGCTACCATTGTTGACCTCTTCAGCTAAAACTGCAAGTTGACTGGCTGTCAGTCTTGGCCTTCTTTCTTCAAAACCAACTTCAAATACATATGCAGATAAGAACCTCTGACTTTTCTCAAGTTTGCTGATCTGCAACTTGTTCTGGTGCAGTGACTCAGATTATAGAGCCTTGAGGGAATGAAGATCCTTATTACATGTCCAAGCTACTTCTTAGAGTGAAAGGGGACAAACTACTGCAGGTATAAACAGCAGGCACCTAGAAGTTCTTGCACATACCTTCAACAACTTCCCTAAGCTTCTTACAGGCCACAACTCAGGCAATTCTGTCAAGCAAAGCTTCAGCACTGCTGATATTAGCGAAGGTTGCCTTCCCCTTTCCGCCTCCTGTGCATTCCTGTTGTCCATCATAGTACAATCAAAATTGTTTTTATGCCATTTCAAATGCTGATTAAATCACAATGGATGCTGCTTCCTTATGTTTAAAAGTGTTTCTGCAGAATCAGCTGGTCCTGACTTCCTGTTTTAGGGTGGCTCATTTCCCTTGCGGGGTCCTATGGAGCCACCCCTGTGTGTACTAGTAATCTGTGCATGTCTCCATAAACACACAGGCACAGCAGGGCAAGCCCCTCCCCTGCCCCCTTCTTCCCCAGGTTAGCATTTTGTACAGGACAGGAAGTTCAGGAAAGCTGAGCGGAGAGAGTTGGAGCCAACTGTTTGACAATACAGGGCAACGTATATTTGTTTAATCTGGATTAATTATTGAAAAAGTGATTGAGAGTTTATTACTACTTTAAAGGAGAACTATGAGGTGAGTGCTTTTCACTCACCTCATAGTTCTAGCTGACCTGTGACAATGAGACTGTCACAGGTCGGCTCAGTAGATTGGGAGGTGAGCGAACACATACTGGCGTTCGCTCACCTCTCGATCCTGTCACGGCTCTCTGCCGTGACGGGAGGGGCTGGATTCCCCCCGCTCCGCCAGCGCTGACTGGCGGAACGGACGTGGGAGGGGGCGGGTACAGCTGGCTCTGCCTTTTTAGATGGGCAGAGCCAGCTGTCAGTCACGCAGCTGGGCGGATCCCGGCACAATTGTCAGGATCCACTTAGGCGTCTCAGTATACCGCGAGCAGCTGCTCGCGGTATACTGCAGCGTCTCGGTATACCGCTAGCTACAGCTCGCGGTATACTGAGCCTAGGGTGACGTGAGGACGCGAGTTTGTGTCCTCCTGTTGCCCTAAGGAGAACTATGGGGAAAAACTTAAGTTATCAACAGGTACCTTCAAAGCCTCCCCAAGTTTCTTCAACACTAAAGGTACAAATTGGATAAAGAAATTATGTTACTGTTCAGTTTGTAGCATAAAGGAAGGGCACTAGCAATAAATAGAAAGGTAAGAGTAGGTAAAAGTGGGTGTTAGCTACTGCATTGACTGTATTTCACATCTTTCCCCATTAGAAGAGGAGTTGTTCTTTCATATTTCTCTTTGCCATGTGTGATTTTGTTCCTGGCTTCTTTCCTCGTAATAGGAAAAGGCTGCCAAATGGAAGACGATAGATGGGCAGATGGATGGGTTAACGACAAATGGAGTCCTTGTTATGCATCCACGCAACGGGTTCACGGAGGACTCTAAGCCAGGGGTGTGGAGAGAGATATCCGTATGCGGGAATGTGTTTAGCCTAAGAGAGACCCGCTCGGCTCAGCAGAGAGGAAAGATGGTATGTGCCACCCAGAAGCCTTTCTTCTGTCAGTTTAACCGCTAAGGGATTTTCCTTCTGAAAACCTGCTTTCTTCAGGCTGTAAAATGCAATGTTTATTTGATTAGATGACGACTTTTTATTTAAAGTCAGTTTTCTCATGCTTTACATTTATTTATAGCACTTTTCAAGTGAATTTCATCTCGTCAAGCTTAGAACATACTGTTCTTCATGGGGAAAAAAAAAAGAACGTTGGGTGATGATTCATCTTAACATATTTTCCTTTATATAACTGGGCTGTTCTTTGACAGATTGAGTCGCAAAGGGCTGGCATGTGAAGTCAGCTTACACCACTACGTAGTTATTGATTTAACATTTCAGTGGTGGTTTTTTTTTTTTTTGTGTTTGACCTTTCTTGATCTCAAGTTTTATAAAAATCGATTTAGTTAGATTCAGCAGGCATTTCCTAGTGCTTCTGGTTCGGTAGCTTTCACTTACATGAATATGCAGGGCTTGCCTCCAAGGCTTCAGAGCTCTCTTGCTGGTACCAACATCTCACTGGTTTTGGCATCTTCAGCCATCCTGATTGGCCAGCCTATACATCTGTATGATGTATACATGACCATCATACCCACTTCTGACTTGTGTCTGATCAGAGAGCTGTCAGAAGCCTGGTGCATTCAACTATCACACTGGGAAAGACTTGTATTAAACAAACATTGAGAACTCATATGAGGGACCATTTATTATTTTTAAATTTCTACCAAATATTTTGTAAAAATGGAGAAATATTCAGTGGGACCCCATGTTGGTACCGAATGTCAATTTTGTAGGAAACATGGTTTTATGGGGAATATTAGAGGTTACATTTTAACTTTTTTTTTTTTTCACCATGAATTGCACAGATCTCAAATTTGTTTATAATATAACATAATTGGGCAAGGAAAAACGTACCTGTTTACCATGGAAACTAGAGGCACAAGGGAGATTCATCTATAGATAAACATGGACAACAAGCTACACCTACTGTTATTTCTCTCCCGTTCATTGAAGGACACAGGACACAGGGAACAGATCGGAGATCATGTACTGTAGGGTAATATCGCCACCTGCAGGAGAATGACGCTAGGCACAAAAAAACTAAAGACCAATTACAGCCTAGGGGCGGCCCCTGCCGGTGGCCAAACCCCCCACCTACTGAGAAGTCTCCAGTTTTTTGCCTAGCGTCAGGAGTAAGGAGCTAAGAATTGTCCATAGACAATTGGCAGGCCGACTATCTCAGTCGGTGGACCCGGGGAATGGATGCTACATCCGGAGGTGTTTCACCACTCCGATCTGTTCCCTGTGTCCTTCAATGAACGGAGAGAAAAGGATTTTACGGTGAGTACCAAAATCCTATTTTTATGATAACTATTCTATGCTATTTTCATTTACTTCCTGTTACAAGAAACACAACGGGAAGTAAGGCTAAATCCCTTCTGGCACAGTAATGCAGGTGCTCTGTCAAACTCCAACTCCTAAATATCTCCAACGTCCTGACTTCCGGTTTAGTTAGAAGTAAGAGGTTTGGCCGAGAAGGCTCTACTGCAGACTGTAAGCCCTCAGGGGCAGGGCCCTCCTTACCATCTTGTCTTGATTTGTGATTGTAATGTCTTCCTTATATTGTAAAGCGCTCTGCAAACTATTGGCGCTATATAAATCTTGTATAATAATAATACTGCACATGCACCACCCGCTGCATTTCCCTATACACATAAGACACAGCAATAAAGTATTAAAATAAACTAGGGTCAAACTAATCCAGCACCTTATTAGTCTAAGTTGCCCCACTCAATATGGCCACCGATTTGACACACTTCTCGGCCAAACCTCAACTAAACCGAAAGTCAGGTCGTTGGAGATCTCGGCGAGTTGGAACTTTCGATAGAACACTGGAACAGGTGTTGCCATTGGAAGATTGTCCCATACTTTCTGTTGCAGTGATGGATGTAAAATGTTAGTCTTTCCATCATTTTTGTTACAATGACCGTGTTCACCAAGACAAATCGGGTAATCACCCCATTAGGGACCCAGACAGAAATAAAAACTTGACAGGTTGCTTATCCTTCTCCAATCTATCAAAAACCTAAAAAGAATGATTTGACTGAAGATATTTTATTCTGTTTCTTTATAACCTGGAGAAAGATGATTGGGGCCTGTGTCGGAGTCTTTACTGTATCCAAGCCATATATTTAAAAGTTTATTTAGAAGGTTCTGAACAGACCACTTCCTCCTCCTGGTAGTAGAACCTCTCAGATGAGCAGTCTGTCTGACTGAGGTTTCCTCACGAGATAGTTTATTAAATCAATGTTTGAAGATTGTGTATTAAACAGGAATGACTGGACTCTTTATGTTTTAACAGGTGGAAAATGAAAGCAATGAGCTTCAAGATGGTTCCCTCATCGACCTGTGTGGAGCTACTTTGTTATGGCGCACTGCCGAAGGGCTGTCCAGAACTCCAACCGTAAAACACTTGGAAGCACTGAGACAGGAGATCAACGCAGCACGACCTCAATGTCCTGTTGGCTTTAATACATTGGCTTTTCCTAGTATGAAAAGGAAAGATGTTGTCGATGAGAAACAACCTTGGGTATATCTGAACTGTGGCCATGTGCATGGCTACCATAACTGGGGAAACAAAGAGGAGCGTGATGGGAAGGACCGGGAGTGTCCAATGTGTCGCTCTGTGGGGCCCTATGTTCCACTATGGCTGGGTTGTGAAGCTGGATTTTACGTGGATGCAGGCCCTCCAACTCATGCCTTCAGCCCTTGTGGACACGTGTGCTCAGAAAAAACAACTGCCTACTGGTCTCAGATTCCACTTCCCCATGGTACTCATACTTTCCATGCAGCCTGTCCATTCTGTGCACACCAGCTTGCAGGAGAACAAGGTTATATCAGACTCATTTTCCAAGGACCTCTAGACTAACGTCGCTCTTTTTGGTGCTTGCATTGAACGCATAAGCTAAGAAAGGTTTGGTTTGCTTCCCACCGGCCGGTCAAAGTCGTCAAGACCTATTGGCAAGTTTGCATAATACAGCGCGAAAAGCTACAGGAGCTCCAAGCGTTGTGAAACGCAAGACGCAGCGATTTTATAACTTTTTTTTTTCCGCAAGCAGATGTTTCAAAATGGGATTATGCAGATTTGATGTAAATGCCTTCATTAATATTTCTGAATGACCCACCTCAGTATTAAATTATTTTGGAACACTGGGGAAGAATAGTCAGCTCAAACTACATTAGTTTACAGTTCAACACACATTGTAAAATATAGCATACGACAGTTTTATATTTATCTTTAGTATGAAAATGCCAATGACTTGATAGCATTGTCCTATAAAGCGACCCGTGTACTTTGAATGCTTGAAGTAGCCGGGACGATATCAGAAAACACCAATATGGACAATCTTTCCTTATCCCCGTTTATTTTCATTATTTGATCATGAGATTAGCTTGTTTTATCACTGAATCATGTGACCAGCTAGGAGATGATAAGTTGAGGGGTCTGTAAATATTCAATCACGTTGTCCTTGTTTAGTCTTAACAGGCGCTCCATCATTTTTTGCATACATTTCAGGGTTTTATTTATCTGTTATTTTAAATTCCTATTTTTAATACTGAAGTAATATTGCTTGTGACATGACCTATTTATCTTCTTTTGAGCCATTTCTTGGGTTTCATTAAATCACAAAAATCACCTTTGAGCAGGTAAGGTTAGAATGTTTTGTACAATTGTATTTTTCTCGGGGACGTTGCATATTTTTACTGGAGCCTACATCCATTGTGATAAACGGTAAATTTTGTGTTCCAGAAACAGATTGTAGTTTTAGTTTTATCTTTTTTTTATTCTACTTTTTTCCCTTGCATGTTTTATGATTGTAGCATTCGCTGTAACACAACGTGTCCTGAGCTGGGTAGGTGAAATACCTATTTAATGGGTGGAGTGTTTTGTGGCTTTTTTTAACAGAGAAATACACAGAAGCAACCTTTCATTCTCGAGTTTCTTTTTGCACACACTCAGGAAAACTAACTACAAAGATACCTGAAATACTACTTCTAACTTTTTGCTGATCATTTTCTAAAAGCAAATCTGAAGCCCTATGTGAAGAGTTCAGGTTATGTCATCACACACTGACCTGAACAAATGCATTAAGTGTTTTAAAGTGTACCTGTCAGTCTGCGGACGAAATATGCCAAGCCAGACTTGTAGTACTGCTTTAGAAATCTGAGACCAGACTTTCCATCATTTGAAATGAATGGATTAGCGGTGCTGATATAGGACATTGGCTCAACAGTGAACACAGATGTAGGAATTGAAGTGTTGTTTAATTAAAATTGTCCAGATACAACTTTATTCCATTTGACTCAGGGGACATTCGGGTAAAGCAGCCAACACGTTCTAGGGATTCAAAACATACCCCATTTTTCAGGGCTTAATGAGAGAAATCATGTATGTGGACTATAATCCCTGCCGTTTGAAAGTTGTGGTGAGAGTATTTCAGGCAGCCAAACCAGCTGCTGACAAGTCTGAAGAACTACCATCACAACACAATAATATTACTTTCAAGCTGCAGGGACTGTAGTCAATAGGGATGCACAGATACTTTTTGAGTACCAATGCCGATACTTGCCATTTTCATGAACTACTAGGGCTGCAGTGGTTGCAGCTGGGACCGGGCTCTGGCACTCCACCGCTGTCCTGAAATCATTAGTCTGTATTGTTTTAGAAAAACTGTCACATGACAATAAACAAAAATGTATCGGTACTTTTATCTGTGAGTACTTGTACTTCCAAAAATGGTATCTGTGCATCCCTTAATATATATTTATAAAGCAAAATCATACATTAAAACATGCATGTACAAATCCCAGGAGCTCCGTGTGCTCCTTACACATGTCAGCTGCCTCCTAACTTTTGAGTTTTTCTCTAGTCTAGTCTTGGAGCTGGAAAAGTGTCTGCACTTGTACCGAGTACGGTACTTGGTATTGGTGCATCCCTAGTAGTCAACATACATGATTATTTCTCATTCCACCCTGATTTATTTATCATTTGGCTCCTCAAAACACATTGGCTGCTCTACTTGAATATCCCCCCTGCCCCTAATGGAATAAAGCAAACTCAGTATATCAGTGCAACCTACTGTTTCATTTACTTGATTACTTACAACATATTTCCCTCCATGTTTACTTTGTCTGAAGCCTTTATTTAAAAAAAAAAGTAATTTCTGTAGGCTATACCCAGAAGTATGTTTTTACAGTCAATTTGTGTTATATGCTTTCTGCTCTTTTAAAGCCGAGCCTTTGAAGTTCACACTTCACAGAACTAATTAGGTTTATGTTGACTTTTTACCATGATTTAAACAAAAACAAAAAAAAGTACCGCCGATCTTCATCATCAGCCTAACAGGAGCATTGTGGGGGTTTTGCCTCATTGGAGACTTCCGAGAGTCTCAGGTTTCAATTGAGATAAGTGAATCAGAAAGGTGTAAAGCTGCGCATCACTACGAAGCAGGAAGTGGAGTCTAGGTGTGCAATGAGCTGCCTCACTGAGCCCTATAATTACAAATGATCTGTTAAAGCAAAGTAATGGGCTAGTACACATTATTAAGACTACAATTTTAAAGGCTACAGTTGCTCCTTAAAAGGAATGTGTTACATGTATATTTTATTACCATCAGTACTAAAATATATTTTTTGTTTCACTCTGGTAATATTACATATTATATACATAAATACTACTAGGTGTTTAAAAAAAGACCAAGAGGACAGATTACCCCCACTGCTGAACGAGTCAGCCCTCTCCCTCCTTCCTAGCAGAGATGGGGGCTACATGAATTAGTAATTTCACAAGCAATGCAGGCAGTGCTGAGCTTTCTTTTTGGAAAGCCTAGCATTCATTGCAAACTGAATACCCTAAACGTACTGTAGAGGGTTTTACTTGTATAACCGTAAATATTATATGGCACCGTTTTAGACATTGAAAATAATGTCACTTATACCCCTTATATTTCAAAGCTGAACTTCAGACAGAAAGCTAAATACACAGATGAATTGCATATATGGAAGCTGTTTTATATGTTTTTCGGCCCATGTAGTTCTGAGATTTACACAGCTCTGTCTGGCATGGCAGCAGACTTGATTTTTCGCTGCTGGAGCAGTATACTGATGAGCTTGTTTCTCGATCACTCAGCATATTCCTTAGCACTACATGAACTCTGTAGCACAAGTAACTTCTGTGCTGCATCTCCCTCGTCCAGGCTAAGTTCTGCTGTACAGTGGATTGATTGCAGGAGGCTGATACCGGGTCAAATTCAGGTACTCGCACTGCCTGCATCTAAAAATATGTTAAGTACTGTACACAGCAGCATTACCTTTGTGTCTTTTAAAGTTCAAAGACATAAAGTTTAGCCATAAATTGTAGAAAGCAATAAAAAGCTGTCATGGCCAGAAGGTTTTTATAATTGCAGCATAGACTTTATGGAAAACCAAGGCCTTCAAAAGGAAGGATCAACCATTGTTTGCACATTGTACCGTAAAGGAAAACAATCAATCATTCTAGTTGAGAGAAATGACAGACACTGCTTGGTACACATTTGAGGAATGGGCAATTGGCAGATCTGTCCTTTGTTGATGAAAATGTCTGCTTATGGATGTCCTGCTTTATGAATAAGCTCATCATACCGAATGGCCACTTCTGCTGCAGATGTGACTGGTACACTTTAAGATTGCTTCATGCACCCAAGAGCTGCTTTCTGTTGACATGTAAATAACCGGAAAATGATTTTTATATATACAGTATGTAAAGAGTCCATTCTGTAAAATGTTAGATTTATTTGGTTTACAGCATAATTTATTCACTTTTAAAAGGAGTCCTAGCTTACAGTCGTGTTTGGGAGAAGTATGAGAGTTAAAAAAAGAAAATTGTCTACTATGCATTTAACTTACGGCATAAAAGATTGTGATTGTAGTTGTCAACTCATTTTCTCTTGCTTTTTGTGTCAGCTGTGGCGACTTCTTTGGAGATGTATGTTAAATTATGCAATTTCTGGTCAGCATTTAGTATGCCTTTTGTTCCCAGTTTACACCTGCAAACCTGTACATTGGTGAATGTGTATCCACATTGAGAGAGATATCAGGAATATCTTCTGTATTAGGTGGAACATTTTGATTTCACGCATTTATAAAGCATTCCTTCTATAAAGAGAAAAAAAAAACCTCTGTTTAGAGCTAAGCCATAATTGGTGCCCTTTGTGCAGACAAGCATACTGTGTATGGAGCCTACATCTAAGATATCTATAAATGGGGCCATTAATGAGAAATCTTTAAGTATATTTGCATATTAAATGAATTATGTAAAACTTTGACATTCTCATTTGAGCGTCCACTTTTATTAAATGTTTACATGTGCTGTCTGATAGTAATACATATTGATGGTAAAGACTTCACCGCATTAACAATGACTTGATCTCATTGCTGCAAGACCAGAAATGGCCTTTGTTCTACTGCAGCTGATCGCTGGCCCTGCAGTGTATGGAAATCAATGTGACTTGGCTGTGTGAGTCAGAGAGACTTGCAGTAATTGCTAGCACACAGTGCTGTTCCTTTTCAGCCTTTACTGGTTACATTTATTACCAGCAGCTGGTCATATTAATTTACATTTCAAAGCCACATTTTGCAAAATGTATTTTTGATCACAGAATACAGTATATTCATCATGCATGGACCAAAATCCAGGAGCTATAGGAATCTTGGATCCTCAGTGCAATCACATTTGAAGGGTGGTACTATGTTGGCTGAGGATGGTTGGACCAAATGCACGACGGTGATAAAGGTTTGGAATATCTAGTGGTAGTAAATCAAAATCAAACGGACTTACTGAAGATTTTAAAAACAATTTTTACATATATCCAAATGGCATCCTTCGTTAATTTGATGTTGGGGAATTCCCCAGTATTTACCCAAGTAGATGTAGGCAGGCAATGTAGTATATACTTTGAGACATGCACAGACTGTTGTATATTGGGAAGAAAAACCATTGATCAACATACTCATGATCCAACATGAGGGTTAAATCTTCAGGTTTCGAATTCGCAGCATACATACACCTAAAGGAGCAGGGGCAGATCCATGGCGCAGTTGCCATATAGGCAAGCAGCTCAACAGTAATGGGACCTCTAAAATGTGCTGAAAAAAATACGCACCTGTTTCCAATGTGTCTATCCCTTGCTGGTCGAAATGAGCAAGGTGTTTCTCCCTTGATAATAGAAGTGCTGCCCAATGTCACTGGCCAGGGAAGAAATAGCACCTCATTTGTCCTGCCAGCATAAGACCAACACAGTAGAAGTAAGTTAGTATTGCTCCCTTTGTAAAATGATTCTGTCGTGGACACAACCCTTATGAACACATTTTAGACAGAGGAGACAAGATGGCCTCCAATGCAACAGTTTTAAGTTATCTATGTCACTATTAGAATAGCCTTCAACTTACTTAACAGGCATGGGAAACCACAGCACCACCTATTAGTTGCATATAATTCTGGCCTGACATCTCACCTCTAGTTACACTTGCCTCAATAAGATGCTGTTTCTCAGCTATTCACATTTTTAATATTTACTCCTCCTAATCCCTACCTTGTGAGCATGACATGCGATGTAGTTCAAGGACCTCTTTAAAGTGGCCTTTAAATATTATGGGTTTAAAGTCCTTCAAGAAAATGACACAAAATGTCAGGGCACCTATCCTTAACCTAAACGTTAAGGCAGGTGTAGGCAACCTTGCACTCCAGCTTTGTTATGAAACTACAAGTTACATCATGCCTCTGCGAGTCATGCCTGTGGCTGTTAGTCTTGCAATGCCTCATGGGACTTATAGTTTCACAACAGCTGGAGTGCCCAGGTTGTTGACCCCTTCTTTAAGGACTTGGCTATTCCTTAAATGGCAAATGGTTTCCTATCTAAGCCATTATTAGTGCTTGCTTTCCTAAAATACGATTTTCTTGATTAAGTCTAGATCTTTGCAAACTGCTGTACTGGGTTACAACTATTGCATACGGTGCTGCGACACTAGGTATCATCCACAGTAGTGAGTACTGGGGTTACCGCCGCAGTCGCAGATCATGGAGGTGTGGGGGACAGGGGCCTCACAACTTACCAAGTTCACCCCAAAGAGGTGTAGATCTTCTCGCTGCCCTAG